TAACTTGTAAAATACATTTTTTAGTTCAACTGATTTATTGTGTTATAATAGACAATAGATAATGTATATACATGTATTTACGTACTGACAAATATGCTACTGTAAAGGTACCTCTAATGAAATTTCGGTTCTCTATCAGCATATTTTATCACACCACTACGAAACGTCTTTTCTCTTTCTGCCTATAAATTAAATTATCATCTTTTCAAAGTAATCGTCCATGGTATATCGTCAACAGTTATGGTTAATAACTTACCCGATGTGCTATCAAAAATTCAGAAGAGCCAATTAGTACTCCAAAAAATATAAAACCTACGGTTAAATGATGTCTTGCTGTCATTTTTGTGACATACTCGTGACGAAGTCTCAGCATAGCAAAACGTTCCATAGAAGTTTCAACCTACACAATTCATACATTAGGTTACATCAATAAACACAAAATATTGCTTACATCTACTTTGTAAAGGACAAACACTCTTATGTAATTTCAACTTATACGAAATTGATAATAAAGCGCGTGATTATTTACAGAATGTAAGATCAAATTACATAGTTAAGAGTTTATTTTCAGTTAAATAACGTTCTTTTTGTTTAAATATCAATTCGAAGATTATCTGTAAAGTCATATAAGGTTAGGGAACTTCATACGTACGGGCATCGTCTGTTTCATAGGATTAAGTGTTTCCTTCAGATATTCATGTCGCAATTGTTTTCTTCTCGCGTGTCTCCATTCCAAAATCTCTTTCATTTTTTTTGATAAATCAAGCGATTCTCCTATTTTCGAGCTCATTTTGTTCGATTAAAGTTCGCACCGATTCAAATATATGTTACGTTCTCAAATTTTCAAAGACACTGTAGGAGGATCTGTGAACGGTGTGATACTAGAACGGATTTGGGCGGTACGAGTACGAGGTACGGAGCGAGCTACTGCGGTTATTTAAATAATAAATTATATATGTATCCATACTGACACGTGGCAATGAAAGATATGAATGTTTTGCGTTGAAAAATTGTTGTTATCTCGCGTTTGCTAGTTGCTAGAATCATTATGTAATATTAGCGATCATCGAATTCCGGACTTAAGTTGTGTGCATTATTAAAACACTCTCTTTATATTCGATGGAGTAAGTTAATTGCTTGGAGGAACTTTAAGAATCTCGTGCAGTGTACAGGCCTCAGTAAATTTTCTCTGACTGATCTGGAGATATTGAACTACACTAATGTAGACCAGTTGTAGCCAGTCAAGTCCAATTGGTCTTACAGTTGCATATTGTGAGCATTCAGCAAATATATGTTTAATGGTCTACTTGCAACTGCAGGATAGGCAGTTATTTATGTCTTCATTTGGAGAACTTTTCTATTTAACATTCCGATGAAAATTCAAAGTCCGATCGTTTCAAGATTTCGTAGTCTTTCTTTTCACAGGTCACGAGGACATATTTACAGTTCAAATAGTATATCGTAGTAGATTATGCAGTGTAAGATACAATTTAAAGAATGCGTAAGCATCGTTTGCGATAAAGTAGATCACATGCGTTATCTGGAATGTGGGTTGCTATACTCTTATCAGAATCATATGACACTCGTCATAATATATGTGAATGATGACAGATCGTATTCAAAGTGATTTGTTCAGAGTAGCTGGAATAAATGATGCAGAAACTCACGTGAATAGATAATAAATATATTATATACATTGCTTATGATATTCTTTCGTTCCACTAGTCTTCCATCAATAATTATCTAGTTTTAATTTACGGTTTTATTGTCAGTTCTATCAAACAAGGAACACGTGCAGTCATTATTAAAAATAGTTCGTAGAATTTCATCGTTAGGGAAATAATTATTAATCCATGAGACAAAAAAGAAATATAAAACATGTGAGATTTCAAACGAAATAAGTTTGTAGATCATATCAATTATGACTTGGAAAATCTGAAAATATATATATTATGAAAATAAATGACACGTTTATAATTATATGCTACGAAATAATTCAAGGATACTTATTATAACTTAATTACGTTGATTACTATATGTTTTACCACGAATATTTTAAGGATGTAACTGTAATTATAAATCGTAGCTGTAGATGATTAACATGTAATAAATTTTTAACGTCTGTTTCTTTTTCAAATATATTGTAACAAAATACTAGGAAGTTGAGAACGCTGGAAACAATAGAAGCTCGAACGATGAATCACGTAGTCGTGGGGAAGGGACGAGAGGGTAAAGAATATAGAAAAGAGAGAGCGGCAGTTTGTTATATTAGTTCATCCAGAGTAGACGGGAGTAGCTGGAGAGACGCAGCGGATGTCCACTCGTTTGCAATTATTCTCATCAATTAATTTCTATATTTGGTTGGTACGTAATTCCAAGCTGTCGTTAAAATATAGTTTCCATCGAATCGATATGGACAACAAAGAATCGCTTAAAACAATGACACACAAAGAATGATACACAATATCACTTTTTAATAATGAGTTTCGTTTTATTCTCCTTTCCAAAGATTTTACTTCGTATTTTGTTCGAATAGCAAAGTTTATATCATTTGAGGAAATGCAGTTTCATGGATCGTTGGAAATATTTTCTTTGTTCTCTTTATTGATAAAAGTAATTTCAACATTTTCTTATCGAAAAATGATACACACAAACATGTTCAATGCAAGACATTAATAATTTGCCTTGACCGTTTCTTTGTGTGGAATGCAACGTATGTGAACAAAAGACTGTCATGAATGATAAATATGACTTAACGTTTTCCATGTTGTAGAATAATACATTTTGCCTCTCGCGTAATAATAAACTGTAAATATATTAGGCGATGCGATCTTCATTTATTTCTTGTTGGAGATGGTATTTACGTAATTTAATAAATCGTATGTTACGAAAAAGTTTCTTATTCGGCATGATTATCGAAATGACGTAAACTAGGAAACTGCGTAATTCAAACATGTCACTCGATTTGTATTAAGTTTCCTAATTCTATTTGTTTTTATTTTGTTGTTTATCTTTATTATTTGCAATTAGCAAATAAATTAATGCTAATCGGGTTATTACGTTGTTGATGCAGTGAAGTATATTAGGTTTTATCAAGAAGATTTTATTCAACTGTTTAAGTGTATTATTGTTGAAACTCGTAGATAAATTAATGCTGATAGGTTTATTCTGTGACTGATACAATAATTTGATAAGATACTTAGATCTTGATAGGTTCTATCAAGAAACTTTTATTCAGCTGTTTAATCATGTTTAATTGTTCTACTGATACAATTCACAAATAAATTAATGCTAATCGGATTATTATGTTGATATAATATTTTAGGTTTTAATAGATTTCATCGAGGAGAAAATTAATCTGTACAAATATTTTCAGATATAAAATCGAAAAATCATGAGGGTGTTGTTGCTTTTGATTGTGGCAGTAGTTGCTACAGTCCAATCTGTGTCTTTCTTTGAATTGGTTAATCAAGAATGGACAACCTTTAAGGTAATTTTCTAGTTAAACTGTATTTTACTGCAAGAAGAACTGCTAGCAAGTTGCTTCAACAAGATACTAGTTGTACTTTTATGTATACATGATATTGATTCTCATTGTATATTAACATAAGTAGTTTTAGGTAAGAAGTTTATGCGAATTCTTGTTTGTATAAAGAAATTGAATTTTTAGATGCAACATGGTAAATCCTATAAATCTGATGTCGAGGAAAGGTTCCGAATGAAGATATACATGGACAATAAACATAAGATAGCTAAACACAATGCCAACTATGAAATAAATAAAGTACCGTACAAATTGAAAATGAACAAGTATGGAGACATGGTAAGTGACGTGTACAATTTACTTTATTTCATGTTGTGTTCTTTTAGGATATATTGTTGTAATCTTGTTTTTAGCTTCACCACGAATTTGTCAATACTTTGAATGGGTTCAACAAATCCATAAATACCCTATCGAGATCTGCAAGGCCTCTGATCGGTGCCGCATTTATTGAACCAGCTAATGTGGAACTACCAGCAACCGTAGATTGGAGAAAACACGGCCTCGTAACACCGGTCAAGGATCAGGGTCACTGTGGATCTTGCTGGGCATTCTCTGCAGTAAGTTTCAACTGATAATCTTCGATTTACAATGATTTTTACTAATATTCAGGCACGTTATGAAATAGAATAGCTTTTTAAAATTTAGCTTTTTAAATATTGAGTCAAACTTCATTTCCTTTGGAATGTTAAGAGGTCTGGATTACTGCTGGCAATTAAGTTTTTGGGTTTAAAACATTAGACTTACATATCTGCAACTTCTTGCTCAGTGATATCGGTGTAAATTAATTTTTTATTTAATTTCAAAATTCAATTTTTGGGAATCAGAGATTACTTTGATTATTAAATTGAAGCTAATTTTAGAAAAGTTACTCAGGTTTGAAGTGTCTCCGAATATTAATGGGAGTGACTGTACTTGTTTGAAGAGTCATGCCATTAAATTTAGTATTTTAATCGTTATTATAGACTGGGTCTCTGGAAGGACAACATTTCCGACGAACAGGAGTTCTAGTTTCCTTGAGCGAACAAAATTTGGTGGATTGCTCTGGAAAATACGGGAACAATGGATGCAGTGGAGGAATGATGGATCAAGCGTTCCAATACATCAGGGACAACCATGGTATCGATACAGAGGGTACATATTCTTATGAAGCCGTAAACGACGAGTGCAGGTAAGCATTTCGACACGTCTGCTTTGAATAGAATGTGTTTAAGGGAGTTCTATCGATAATAGAATTATCAATCAGATTCTGATAAAATTCGGTCTACTGCTAGGTAAAATTTTTAAAAGGACGTTTTCAAGTGTTTGTAGACTAAGGGTATCTAAGAAAAAAATTACTAAAAATGTTATTTTTACATATTTTATACGATGGTTTATAATAAACAGCACGTTCGTTGCTGTATTTATATAATTAATTTATTTTGACTCTTACACTGTTGAAAAATTATTTTTAAATAAGCTGTTATCAATAGATATCTGACTTCTATTAACAAAATTCTTATATATAACAATGTTTGATTGTCAAATGCTTCACACTAGTGAATAATGGTAGTTTTTCGTAAGACGCAATGTAAAATACGTAGAAACGAAATCTTTTGATAACTTCTTTTGTAAGTACCCTCAATCTTTAAAATTTTAACTACTTTTTTTAAAAGCTTTATCTACCTAGCCGAATACTAAATTTGAACAAAATCAGTTTGTTAATTTCATTATCGATAAGATCCTAACGGGACTAGGGTAGTCACGTGGCTTTGCTAACATTTGTCAGTCAAATTTTGATGTTTTTTGCTGTTTTGTCAATAAGCAGACAAGAATAGTGCAAAATATGAGTTTGCAGGACTACGCTTTTCGTCCTTGTATGAGAAGACTTGTGGGTTATCAGGAACCTCTTTGAAAAGAGGAACATTCAACCTGGCGTGCTATGGTTTTGATTTGATTCAGAATAATCTCTTTTAGGTATAAAATTTCTTATAAACAAAGGCATTGCAACTTCGCTGTATATTGCTAACTATGAACATTTGTGGATTACATCGTGTCCAGAGCACGCCAGAGTTAACTTTCCTCTTTCCAAAGGGGAAGGGGGGACCTTCCTACCCAAAAATTTTTATTATATAAGGACGAAAAGTGTAATCCCTTAAACCTATATTTTTGTCTAATTTTATGGATAATATTGACGGTCTGCCTTATTGTACCGCTATTGGACTCTATCTCCTCCAGTACTAAAATAATTTTGTTTTCTACAGATATAACCCAAAGTACAGCGGAGCTTCCGACGTTGGTTTCGTAGACATTCCCGAAGGAGATGAAGGCAAACTGAAAGCAGCAGTTGCCACAATTGGACCAATCTCTGTTGCTATTGATGCTTCCCACCAATCATTCCAATTTTACTCTGAAGGTTTGTTTGTACGATTTGAGTCTAATTTTTGATTACACGAACTTCCTGCTAAATATTATACAAAATTGTAGGCGTCTACTATGAACCCGAATGTAGTAGCGATCAATTGGACCACGGAGTGTTAGTGGTAGGTTATGGAACCGACGACGACGGTACCGACTACTGGTTGGTAAAGAACAGCTGGGGTGAAACGTGGGGCGATAAGGGATACATAAAAATGGCCAGGAACAGAGAAAATCACTGTGGTATCGCTTCCACCGCTAGCTACCCTCTCGTTACATCTCGTAAATAATTTTCTAAGCACTCTCTAGCAAGAAGAATAAAACGTAAAAGTACATTAAGTAAATAGTAGTATATGCGTTATTGCCCGCTCAGTAATTTTAATAAGTACACATTATATTCTATTAAAAAATAACTTATGTTCTTCTTTGTACGAAATTGTCATGTCTATTTTTCGAATAAAACGAATTTTTATTTACATCCTTCGTTCGATTATCTTCCAAAATGGAATGCATGCCTTTAGATGGAATTCTGAAAAGTAAAATGGATGCCATTCAATTAGTCGAGATCGCGGCCAGTGGTGAGAATCGTAAACAGTCACAGTCGGTCAAGTGTTGCAGCATTGTGTATACGTGTACCATATTAGAAATATAATTTTATATATATATATATATATCTCGCATACTTCCTGATCGAAACATCGGTTACGTGCGAATCGGCATTGTGCGAGGCTTAATTGTTCTCGTAAAATATTCAACCATCGCGGTTATAAACATAACCATAGAATTGAAGATTGACCGACATTCATGTCATGTACTTGGGAATTTAACTAAACGAGTACGTCCGCAAAGTTTATTAGAGAAATATATTCTTAAAATGCCAGACAGTAGTATATCTATTTAAATTGCTCTCCTTTTATCCTATCAGTCACTGTACCTTCGTTGAATGAAGTATTACCATAAGCTACGTTTTCCGTTTGTAGTAAATAAAATATATTGCTTGTATTTAAGCATAATAATTTTGTATATTTTATTGAATCGTTTCTCTTGTCATGCAATTATACTTCATTTTGATATCATTTCATTTGTGTTCGAAATTCGAATGTAATTTAAAAACCAATAGAAGAGTCAATTGTATGTTGTATATAAATAAGAATGAATTTTGATTTTCAATATGTATTTTTCTGATGCAGATGTACAATGGGTGAATTAAATGTGTGCTTTCAAATAGACACAGATAATCGGGAGAATTTCCCATCCGCGATCGCTTTCCAATCATTTAAAAATCAACGAGACACGTTCTACAAAATATTCCGAATATGGGAGGAGAACCACTCAGTGCCTGGGTGGACGTTTCAGATTGCTCTGGGGAGCAAGATAAGATCCATGTTGACCTTGCATAATGACGCTATAAATTACTATCACTTTGCAAGATTGTTCAAATCGCAGCTCCTAATCTCGTGTATACAGAATAGACAGCATGTACGTCTGGATAATAAAATTATGTTAATTAATCGTAGACTTGTTTAATCGAATAGTTTTGTGTGTTCTAGGCGGAAGTAGAAGATGACGAAGATATATTGCAAGCTTTGAGACAAGTAAATCCTAAAAAGTTGAATCAATTACAGGAGAGGCTGGTGACCCCACAGCCTTCCAAAAATCAAATCACTGGGCCAACTTTCCCAGGGGTTCAAGAGTTCTTTAAAGACTTCATTTTATTTGCGTTTAATCCAATTTTTTACGTGCATTTAGAAAACTGTTTGATTTACGAGATAATAGAGTTAAATGACACTCAGTTCAATAACAGCGAGATCGAGGATTCAGGTATTATTTGCATCTGTCAATATATGCAATAGACAGTGGATATTTATGCAGAATAAAGCGTTTATAGTATCCTTTGAAGAGATATGGTTCAGATTTTATCATTCAATCAATAGCTTTTGATATTCTGTATAGTTTTGTACATTACACGTAACACTCAAACATTTTTTGCAATGTTCACTATATGATTTTTATAGAGTTTTTCATGCCAAAAGCTAATTCGTAAGCCGAATTGTTCTATCATTATTCCGAAGAATAGTAATTTTTGTAAAAATGCATGATTTCCGCGAAAAATGAATCTTACATGTTTTTTTTTTATCAAAAATGTCAGTAGAATTTAATACTGTATAGCAAATTTCTGTTACATAAACGGATTTTCATATAAATACAATAACAGAACGTGTAAAGCACTCGCCTCAACTCTTCTTCAAACTTGAACAATTATTTACAACTATTAAAAAGTTTGAAAACAAAAAGTAATTTATATGGATATACTGTGGAAAGTCACCTTTATTTGTTGATTTAAAATGAACTTTTTCATGTAATACCTCATTTTCTTCAAAATCATGCGTTTTTAGAAAAACTGCTATTCTGCTTCGGATTTGTTTTTGGCATGAAAACCTAGAAAAATCACGTAGAGCATATTGCAAAATAATATTTTTATGTCGTAGAATGAAATTTTTACACATTTCGTTTTCATATAAATGCATGAAGTCCGCTGTTTAATAATAACTAATCCATTTCCAATAACGTTGTTCCCGTTTTTATAGAAACTACGGTAGATGAGCAAACGCAACAAAATTTCATCACTTGCTTATCCAGTTTAAGACTTCTTGCAAAAATGCTAGGGCTCCTCGTAGCACTACCATACAGATCAGAGTCGAATAATTTTAAGGAATTAGTAGCGACTCAAGTCGAAGTAAGAAGTAAAGTAAGTATTATCATTTTCGTGTTTTATCGATTTCTTTTACCGTTTTTTCGAATGTTATACTCTTTAGGTTTTACCGTCTATAAACATGCAACTCTGTCTTCACGATGCAATAGCATTAGGTAAATTATCATTGACCATACCTTGGATATCGGAATATCTAGCTATGATGGACACCGTGTCGCTTCGATTGCCGTATTACAAGCAAACGTTGGAATTGTTATATTATATTTATAAAGCTGTGAACCATTCCGATTTCTCGGCATCGGACACTTTCCTTTCCCAGCAGACAGCGATTTTGCTTAAGTCCACGTTGAACTGGCTGTTCGAATTACCGAATTTCCCGAAGGATTTGTATTCTACTTGGCAAAAGATGTACAAAGTTAGAGAATTTCGAAGTTTGAAACAGCTCGACAAAACTCATATACAGAAAATGATGCTAACAGGAGAACCCACAGTGTCCGTTAATTTGTCTAAATGCAACTTGGACAAATTGGATATAATTAACGAAAAAACGTTGCGTATATGTTGCCCGACAATCGAAGCGAGCGTTTCCGTATCGAACCCTAATACGAATTTCAATAATTACAACCCGAACAAACACATTAAACCAGTAACTAGTCAGCTTAAATCTACGAAAAGTGCTGGAATAAAACATTTAGAGGTAAGTCCAATAAAAGTTCGTTTCGAGTGAGGTATTCAAATTCTTATGATTTCAATAGTTGCAATTGGAAGAAGCATTCTTTCACGGGCAACCAGCGTCGACGCAAAAGACAGTTGATTTCGTGTCGGAGAGGGTTGCGTCCACCTGCGTGAAGCATATATGCAACACCCTCCTGATGACTTCTAGGGAGACGAACTTGAACAATTTTCGAAAGATTCTGAAAAGGAAACAGGAGCAATCACTCGAGGAACAATTGTTCATCAATACGACGAATTTCAAGGTAAATTTTTGCACAACTCACGATCATATAAAATAATTGTACAGACTGTGGATTTTATGCAATTACAAGAAAATTGAATGACAAATGTCACGTGTAATTTATAAGACAATTTAGAGTATCGAAGACTGAATGGATATTTCAATGTGTAACAAAACTTTAACAAAAACTAAACTGATACAATAAATGTTTTATTTTACCTAAAGATCCGCAGTGAAAGTACATGATAGAAAATATTATATTCATATTGATTATATTTAGGCATCTGTGGTGAACGACATGAACGCTGCAGCCACGAATATATCTAAGGAATTGAAAGATCAATGCGAGACGTGCATACCGACAATTTGCGAATTGCGAGTGACCCAATCGATAGAAGCGCTTCTAGCGGAAGACTCTTTACCGTCTGTTAAAGAAATGTGTGTTAAAATTGCAACGAGATTAGCCACGGAGCGAATACACCAGTGGATACAATCCCACATCGTAGGTGGGTCACTGTTTATAAAAGATATGGAACTTGAGTTAAACAGGTTCCTAAAGAACAACACACCACTGCAGCCTATCCAAGAAAGGAAGCATAATCAAAATGCTCTTAGCCCGACTACTACTACCGACAATTTGAGGGTAATTATTTGATCCGATGTAAAAGTATCGAAATGCTCGAACTTTCGGGTAGTTCGACGATCGAACCGAACTGAGGCTCTGCTTCCGACCCAATCCACGAACTCGAAAAAATTGAATTACTCGAATAAACCAAACGACTCAAAGAAATCTTGGATATTTATTATTATTTGTTATCATTTTTATAGGAGCTCATATGGGATCTACTTGAGAGTGGTGATGAATCTTTGACGTTAACAACTGTTTCGACGACGTTAGATAATTTATATCAGACTTTAAACGAAAGAGCAGATTTAGTAGTGGGAGTGGAAAGAATTTTGTACTCTCTTAGCACAGATCTTGCTTTATTTTTAGGTAAAAGAATTAATGTTCAATTACTTTAGTTATTTGATACGTTATGACATTTGTTAATTGGTCTTGTATTTATAGTTGCTTATCGAAGTGATTTGTTCACTGTAAAAGTACAAGAGAAATTTATAAAGGTATGGGCGATGAGTCGCTGTAAAGCTCTGGAATCAGACTCGCCTATACATAGAATATTCAGTTCTAGAAACATTATGCTCTTAGCTCAACCAGAGAAAGCAGAGATCTGGCCGATGTTCGGAAAGTTTATTAAAAAACTGATCGAGAAAGACGTTTTAGATGTCAACAGTCTTAGCGACCAGTGTGTAGCTTTGTTCAGGCAAAACTGGCCTGTGGTAAATATTTTTATCATATTCGTTGAAATTATAGCTTATTCGATGTGTAAATCATTTGACTTTTCACAGCCCACTTTAAGGCATTTGTCAAAATGTTTGACAGAAGTGATAACAGATTTTAAAGCGTCGGACATGACAACTGAGAAAGTAAAATTCCTACTTGGCTGGATAGCTGAAACGTACAGCGAAATAGAATTTTGCAACTCTAGACATTGATGCTCTCCATCTGGTATTTTTCACTTACTGTATAAATTCCAGAAGTTCGATGCACATAGAACTGTAAATTATTGTACATTAATTAATTTAACGATGGAAAGGACGCGGGTTGAGCGCAGTGACTTTGCCAATTGTTGCTGCAACCGAACTGTGAATTGATATAGAAAATTTTTATGGACGAAGTATCGTTTAAACATTGTATGAATCTGTGCACCTGAACGTTTATCTATTTTTAGACTTACAATTAATTCATGTTTCCTATGTCGGGTGTTAATTGTTGCATTTTATTCCATTGATCGCATATTTTATAATCGATAAAATTCTAATCTTTGACAAATGTATGAAACGTAAAATAAAGAAACATTTGTTTTTTAATCGCCTCAAATATTTCACCTTCATTCCTCGCCACGTCGAAAGTCGAGTTTGTTCAATTAAAACAACATTGCTATATGTATTTATATTGTGTAAAATACATATACCTTCCATGATGAAGTACATTTCCCTACTAATTGTTTAGTACAGAGGTTCCCAAAGTTTTATCTAAATGTGCAAAATTGTCAATTCCAGAATGTTTGACGGGCCAAAGAAGTGTTATGGAAAAATATGTTCAAATCGATAATAAGTTAGATATAAAGGAAACATTTACATTAATTTTATAATATAATCATTTTTTATTTATTACAACAATTACTTTCTACTACAAACGTTTTATTAGAATATTTAAAAACTAAGTAATCAGAGACAATTTATTCCAAATACAAAAAGAAAAAATTAATAATCTGAAATGCGTGACTGTGTAGTTATTTCCTTTTAATAATATCATTAAGCCTTTGTTCTAATTGTAAGTTGGTTGAATGTATTCGTAACACTTCATTTCTTATCTCAATTTAGACCTATTAATACTCATGATTGACAAAACCTTTTTTATAAGTCCTTCCAGATAATGAAACCATACGTTAAGTATGTTTCTGCAAGTTTGGAAAATTCTTTAGGAAGAATTAATCAAGACTCTTTTCAGCTTTAGAAAAATTGATAAGAATAAGTTCTGGCCTCGATATCCTTCTGTAGTTTGATCAGTTCAAATTGCATATTTTCGGAAACAATTTGGATTGTAAGAAAATTAATCAGAAAATAAAATAAATTCGTCTTCATGATTCTTAAAATCATTAAAACGTTTATCAAATTCTTCTAACAAATTCTGTATAATTTTATAATATTGTAACTACTGAATAATACATAGCTGATGCTTCAGCATTCTCGGTTACTAATATTCTATTCGATTCAAAATGAGATAAGTTTCCAATTTCAAGTTGTTCTTGTAATAATCGAAATTCTATTTAGTTGAATTTTATTTATTGTTTCTTTTGTGAAAAAAGAAATATTTATTGTTTTCTTGAAGAAAATTTGACATTCCTAGATGATCTGATATCGCGGACCGTACTTTGGGAATCCCTGGTTTAGCACATTGAGTATATATGCGCGGCGGTGATGCGCAAGCGAGTTGAGCGCGAACAATTTCCACAGCAGTTCGCCGTCATCATTCGAGGAGGTTGAACGTATTTCGTCCCTTCCGACTTTTCTGTTATACGATCGCGTACGAGTACCGATGATCGCATCGCGATAAACTAATGTAGTCTACGATTTCTACTTCCATCACCATCATGTTTGCAAACCACCTCGCATGACAAGAAACGGGATAGAAGTATAGAAAGATGCTTAACGAAACCTACTATCTTTGCACGGGTTAGTATATAAAAAGAATAGAAATTAACATCGTTAATGAGCGTTTTCAAATACTCGTCACTGTTTCCTATCGAAAATTGAATATCGGTTAATTGTTAAAAGTTTTCGAAGTATCATCGCGTTTCGGTAATTGAATAAAATAATCGAAGCGTGGTTTCTGTTTATTGTACGGAAAATAGAGGAGGGGGAGAAAGAAACGGTTGAAAGTTACAAAGGTGTTTTGATAGTGTAACGAGATCGCGTGTGCGAGATTGGAAGTAAAGATAAATCGTGTGTATCGAAATTCGCGAATGAAAAAGAGTATAGTCTGACAGACACTTTCGTGAAGGATATCGTGCACGCGATAGCCGCCCTGTTCGGACTCTCGTTTTCTTTAAGGGCGATTGTTAACACGCGAAGTCACACGATTCGATTTTGCACGTGTTCGCCGGCACGTGGTTCGTTCAAGAAATATGTAAAATCTATGGAACTCGGAATCGGCATCCCTTTGAATCTTCCCGTCGAATCATCTAACTCGACATAAGGTAAGATCGTTTCTTTTATACAATTCATTCGTTCGTTTCAAGTCTGAAATTTAACTATAGGCCGGTATTCAGAGTCGTTACTTATATTTAAATATTGTATATGTATTAATATATTAATTAATTGTTTTAAGCATTTGCTTAAGTCCCGTACAAGACAGGGATTGGAAATATGAGATAGACAAAGATAATAAATGCTTAAAACGATCTTAAAAATAAGCAACGATTCTGAATACCGACCAGAGATGCGATACCAGCAAGTACAACTGTAAATCAAAAGAAGATAGTATTAATCAAGTCAAATTCAAGTGATTAAAACAATAGTCGTTTTATCCATTTTGCTTTCAATTAGAATAGAAAGCAATAGTTTCTTAACTTCCTCGCGATTACGTGTTTACCAAAGTCGTCGATTATTTGAAACAAGGTGTTTTAAATCGCGAATTGGCTTGCAACAGTGGACATAAGGTGGGAAGGAAAAAAAATTCTGCATCGATGGTATCGGGAAGTTTATTCGTAAACGGCAACGAGCGCTCTCGTGAATCGAACTGGAAACCGAAACGATAAGGTCACCACACTTAACGACTGCCGAATCTGCTCCAGTGTTGGACAGAAAAACATACGAGGGGACAAAGTTTCGCCTGTCATTCGACAATTTTTACAAACACAAATTATTTAGGTTCATCAACGAATTTTTCGTTCACACTCCCTTCGTTCCTAAATGTTTCCTACGAAAATTAACGTACATAGTTTTAATTTAGTAAGCGACATTCGAGTGAATAGTGGTTGCGTGTATCTATTAACGTTCCCTGTTGCAAATTTTTGTAATTTGTGGTTGGTGGAGCGCCATTTTGATTCACCTCTGTACAGAAAATTACCAGGTCTGTCTCAATTTACCTCTGTAATATGCGTGGCTCCATCGCAAATGAAATTTTCTTCGACGGTAGAGAATATTAGCCTAGTTCCTCGCAAATTCTTCCCGTTTCATCATCGTACACGTTTATTTGTTACCCGAAGCACCACATCTGGAAATAAAATGTACAAACGAACGATTATCTTGATTAATGTCACGTTTTACGTAGAAAGTACGTAGCTATTATAGCTAACGATATCGAGGGTTATAAATCTTAATCGTCGTCCCCCGAGCTTCCTATAGAAACGATAAATCAAACCTCATGCTGCGTAGATAGATTATAGAGCGAATTTCAGACCGAATTATCGAATAAATCACCTTTCCAAGTGTTCTCCTTTTATCTGTTCTTCAAATCATTTCGTAGCATAGAAGTATAGATCATTTGCACCCACTATTATATAAAGAGGAAGTTTGTTTATATGTTAGCAAAAATTTGAAAAGCCACTGAAGTATTTGCAATGAAGTTTGGGCAACAGCTTTCTTATCATTTTAAAGCAAACGACATTATTAGGAATAATTACTGAGTCGAAAGAGAATGAAAATTTTATTTTCAATTTTGTCTTTTTGTCAATATTTCTTTAAGATTGTAATTGTAAAAGCTATGTCACGCTCTTTTTAAGTCACAGATAATTTTTAACATATAATTTCTAGTATTCTGACGTATGGTTTTGGTACTTTTTGATTGTACCTTACTTGCTACTGTTTATGTGATCTACAAGTCCTTAATTCTTACTATTGTTTATTTTTTATTGTCTACCTACTATTTAGCTTGACTAAATTTTCCTTCTAGTATGAGAAGGTTTTTGGATCGTCAGGGATCTTTTTGGGAAAAGGGAAGTTAAATCTGGCCTGCTCTGGTCCTGATTTCATTCAAAACAATCTCTCTTGAATGTAAAAAAGGCATTGTAACTACGATTTTTCACCTATTTTTTAGCGCTGATATTAGTAAATATCAGCATATTTTGATTAAATCATAACCAGAGCATGCTAGATTTAACTCTTCTCTTCTCAAAGAGATACCTGACGATCCACCAATCTTTTTATAATAAGGACGAAAAGCATAGTCCCGTCAACCCATATTTTACACCATGTTTGCCTGGTTATCGATAAACAGAGCACAAAATGTCGAAATGTTATTGACAAATGTTAGAAAAGTGATGTGACTATCCTGACCCTTTAAATAGTATCTTCGAAGTTGATATTATTTCAACTTTAAAATATATATTAACAATTACATAAAATTCTCTCATTGTTGCATCTAAATTCTTTTTATTATTAAAATCAATATTTTGCCATTTAATATAAGAGTTCAAGAGTTAATAACTTTTTTAATAGCCTCGCAAAATTTCTAAAATTTTCCAGTGTTTTATTAATATAATATCTAGTGACTGTTAAAATTTGAATGTTTTCTTAGATACGGACTTATACAATCTTAATGCGATTAGGTATCCAAGAGATGTTTGCTCCAAAATATTACGTAACCAACTCTTTAAAAATCAATTCGTGGATTTTTCTAAATTCACGTGCTACTGGGTTATAACGTGTCCCTACGTATTACTCAATATTTTCCAAGTTTGATGAATTGTATTGGTTTTCGTTTACAAAGGTTACTCAGACCTAAAAGTCAATTTCAGCATATTTCCTCATATCATCCACTCAACGGGATGATAACATGTATTTACTGAATCCTCAATATCCTTAATATTTTATGACTTAGCGACTTGGTTTTTTTTTATGAAATATTTCTGTTCTGTGCATTTTGGATTATATGTACATAATACATACACGACAATAAAGTGCGGACGATTTCGCGAGGGGGGATACTACTATTTTATACAAGCTTGTATATATTTTAACAAAGCGCCTGCCTAAGGAAATTGGACGTCTTGATGAATAATTAAACAGCTATTATAATTGTAGTAAATTGAAACGATAAACGGTTTTCTGACGATTCTAGATGCGAGAATAGGGAAGGAAATGGAGACGCTTTACACAGGAGCGATCCACGGGTTTCCCCAATCGAACGGCGGGCAGACTAATGGAATTTCGTCGGGAATCGCCAGCTCATTCGATCAAGACGGCGTTTTGAGCCTCATCGTCGTCCTAGGCGGAAGCCTGTCCCTGGTCGCCCTGGTCTTTGCCTTTATTACCTACAGGTAAGTTGAGAGTCAATTAACGTCGCTAATAAACGGTCAAGTAAGACAGCTTCTCGTTCCCACTAATTCTAAGATAAAATTGATGAATTCCACTGTTTCCTTTTCTATTTCGTTTAACACAGGCAGAAAACTAGTAGTCAAATATTGAATATAAGAGACAAAGAGAATTTGGTAAGAGACAGCATCTCGTTCCCAATTTGTAAGACAAAATTGATCCTATGTTTTTCTATATCATATAACACAAATTGAGAAATGGCATTGAAATATTGAATGAAATTGTGAACTTTTCCAGTTTTATTAGCGATCGAGAAATCAATAGCCGTCGTGTTTGCATGAAAGCGGTCAGCTTCGTGCCCGCTGGCAATCCTTTTATACGATACTGTACCTACACTGTAATACGTTGACTACTGAAATAATTCCAATATTCCATTGAAGCTTGCTTTTATTTAGAAAATTATTTACAGCTTTTATATGACACACGTATGAAAGTTCATACGTGTAACTTTGTATTGTAAAAATCTTTCTTTTTTCCTCGATGCCTGAATATTTGTTAGGTTATTGTTTTCTGATCTGAAGTTACTATTTCGCGATATTATCGAAGACAGAAAGTTTCTAACGTGTCGCCGGAAATTGAAGGGAAATGAAAAGGCACGGTTTCCTCTCTTTCTCGACATTGGTCATCGTTTTCTTCTGGCGTAAAATAGAAATTCCAAAGGAACTTGATTCCCGTGACGAAGCATCTTCCGCACGGACACGATTCGAGAACTTTAATTGGTGTTTAAGCGCGAAAAGATTGCGTACCGTTTTCTCGTTTCAGGGAAGCGCGCGTCTACTCTTGGGAATTTATATCATTTATTGTATCTACCTGAATTATATAATTCATACATTAAATGATTCACGTAATAGTCGATGTAGTAATTGATGAAGTATTGCCTATAACAATTGTTACAATGCTTAATATAGTACTATTGGATTGGCAACTAAATAATTGCGGAGTTTGTCGATAGACTTCTTATTTAAAATCCGCAATCACTTAGTTGCCAACCCAACAATTTCATCAATTACTACGTGGATCATTTAATGTATCGAATTAATTGATATAATTGATATAATAAATGATTCGCGTAACAGTCGATGCAGTAATTGATACGGCGTTTCCTATAATGGTTGTTACAATACTTAACACAGTACTAATTTCATCAATTACTACGTGGATCATTTAATGTATCGAATTAAATATACATATAATTGATATGATCCACGTAATAGTTGATGCAGTAATTGATACAGTGTTTCCCATAATGGTTGTTATAATAGTTGTTATGGTACTGATGACGCTAAAAGAAGGTTTCTACGTATTTGATAAAACGCAGTGATCATTCAAATCATAATTCATTTCCGAGGCTCCTATATGTATAAAGAATAACTTTACATAGTTCATATCTATTTATTCCGTGTAACGACTTCGATGATAATGAAAAATTGCGTGTATGCTAATGTTTCCCATGTTAACGGTTTGCACTATTTTTTTAGCAATTCAACGATGTTATAGTGTTAATTATAACTGACAAAAATTATTCGATTGACATAAATGATTCACGTAATGGTCGCAGTAGTAACTGATACAATGTCTCCTATTCAATTACTATTAAACACAGAGTACAACAGTTAAACTAAATGATATGATTCACGTGGTGGTTGACCGAACAATTTATAGAGTGTTTCCTATAATGATTGTTACAATAGTTGAAACAGTAGTTGATTAAAAGAAGTTTTCTATGCACTTGCCACAAGGCAGTGCTCGTTGATTGAATATTTGATCAAGCTGTAATTAATTTTCCATGGCTTCTATGTAAAGAATAACTTCAAATGGTTCATATTGAGTCTGGGTGGTGGAAGTATAAATATAATCAGAACATAACTAAAAGTATACGAAATATAAAAAGTGAATCTAAGCTTCAATGCTTATTTGTTAAAAAAAATTGCAATTTGAAATGAATTTTCTTAACTGGCCACTATAAATCTTCTATTTTGTATACAAATTCGCTGATCATAACAAAAAAATTAGTCCAATTAATAAATGGTATCATGTATTGTATCGTATTAATTTATCTTAAAAATCTGGAAAATCATGAAATCAATGTAAACTTGCAGCACAATACAGCAAAAGTACCTAAATAGAGAATCCTATCTCTGTCGCCAAATATACTCTTAGTAATGGGCATATGAACTTTCTGGTTGTTCTGCCAAGAAAGTACACATTTTTTCAGTTTTTCCTTATGTTTATTATTTCTGTTTAACAAATTATGTGTACAATCTGTCTTAAATCAATAATCTATTAATAATAGTAGCTGATGGA